ATGGGTATTTATAATTACTGATTTCTTAACACTGCGTACGTTTCTTTTTTAATAATTATTTTTCCAAAAAAAATTTATCTTCTTGCTTAAAAAAAAAAAATAACAAATAATCGAAATTCAATATTCACTTAGAAACGAATTAATATTTATTTTACATTCTAATAAAAAAATGAAAAAGTTTGATTAATTTAAGTAAATTTTGTTAAAAAAATTATTATTTTAAAAATTATTATATTAAATTCGTTGCTAAATTTATAAAATAATTGGGTTAAATTTAAAAATCATGCAATTGAAAAAATTCATTTTGATTCATATTTTTATCTATTTTTTAAATATGTTGAAGGCAAGAAAAAAAATGTATTCTGTTATTTTATTAGAAGGACGTTAATGCAAATCGACTACAGTTGCTTTTGCGAGAAAGAGAAAAAAAAAATAAAAAGTATCGCCTCGCGGTTATTTGCCTGGGAACGTGAATAAAGAGATTCTTCACCAACAAGAAAACTGCATTAGGAGAATCTCTTTTAGTTAAAAAACTTTAGGTTAAACGAAGGTCGCTGAAGTGAAAAGATATTTCACGCAAAAGACTTTCAACTCTGTCTTTTATTATTTCCGCACCTCTTTCTCTTTATTGATTCAACAAGAATTTTGACTATGAATCACAAAAAAAAAGTAATAAAAAACTTAACGCGCGAAACTTTTGATTTCAATTTTAAAAGTTGATGAGAACAAACTTTTCAGTGGATGGTTTAAATTTTTTATAGTAGCGTGAAAAGAAAAATTAAAAGAAAATTAAATATGTATTAATAACAAAAAAGAATTTATTCACATGTTAACAATTAATGACAAAAGTTTAAACTTTTTAAACTCCTGTTGTATATTTAGTTTTTTAACATATTCTAAAAATTTAAATTCAATTTTTAAAAATTTAGATTTAATTTTAAAAGTTAAAAAATTTTGAACAAGTTTTAAAATTTAGAATATGTTGATTGAAAAAAAAATTCTATAATTTAGTAAAAAAATATTTTGAAAATGTTTTGGAATTTGTTGTTTACGGAAATTTTAACTTATTTACTGATTATTTATAAATTAAAAAGTATTTTTTTCGGGAGAAATTCTATAAATATTTTTTTCGAGAGCAAAAATAAATGGAATTGAAAAAATTAGTATTTTTATTCAAAGTTTTTATTTATCAATTTAAAATTCTTAAAAATGAAAAATTATTTTTAAATATTATGATTATAAAACTAAGGCAAATATTTCTTTTTTATTTTATCCTTTTTAATATTTACTTTCTTTAGAAATATTTTTAAAAAATTATTTCTTTTGATGGTTATATTCAAATTTTTATATTTTTTTTCTTTTGTAATTTAAATATATTCTGCAATATTACGAATTTTTTTATTTAGAAATGTTTCTAAAGTTCTGAACGCTTAAATAAACGAATGTATAGGTACTTTTTTTTCAAATTAAAATTTTGTATTTTTTGGTCGCACAACAAAAAAATTGACTGTCAAGTTTTTAAATGATAATTTTCAGTTTTTAATTTTTTTTGCGCAAACAATAATTTATGAAAATATTTTCTTTGAAAAATATTTCGTTAATTACGACGTTAAAAAATTATGGATCATGAAAGTTATGGTTAAAAGTGCAGGATTGTAATTTAAAAATGAAAAACAAACAAATAAAAAAATATATCACTTTAATTTTTAACAAATTGTTTGTCATTAAATATTTTTTCTAGTAACTGTCTTTTTATTATATTTTTGTTCATATAAAAAAATATTTTATTTTTGTTTTTCAGTTACGAAATAAAGCAGCTATAAATATGAAATTATTTCGAATTGATGAAAAATTATCTGCAATTTTTTTCGATTTAAGAAAAAAACTGTTAAAAAGAAAATTATTTTGTATAGCATAGATTGCGTGATCTAGCTATGATATATATTATTTATTTGCAACTCTATTTTTCGCAGAATGTATCAACAACTATTGAAAAAGAATTTAAAGAAGAGAAATTTCTTTCTTCATTTATAAAAATTTAGAAGTATGAAAAATAATTAAAATTGTTAAACTTTGTTTAAAAAAAAAAAAATTCAAAATCTGAACCATTTTTAAAAATTTGCGATTATCTCTTAAAATAAAATCGACAAAGTGGTCCCTTTTCATGCGGACGTACAAAAATAATATAATTTGAAAACATAATTAGTATGATAATTATTATTATTATTTACAAAAAAAATTAGTTTCAAAATTTTTTACCTCTCAAGCCAGTGATATTTATTCTACTATTGGTATGCAGTTTATATCAAAGATTGTAAAAAAAATTGTTCATATTAATAAAAAATTATCTTAAATTATTTGTCAATTTTTTTATTTAAAAAAAATGTACAAAAGAAAATAATTTTTTAAAGCATAGATTATGTGACCTTGCGATAATATTTATTTGCAACTCACTTTTTTCGAAAAATTATCAATACACATTAAATTTAAAGAAAAAATAAATAAATTCTTTTATGAAAATTCAGAAATTTAGGAACATGGAAATAATAATTATTAAAAAATTAATTAATAATTATTAATAAATAATAATTCAAATTTTTAAATGCTTTTGCGTTTTAGGCCCACAAGTGATTTTTAACTGAACTCCGAAGGGGTTTAAATATTTTACCACTAAATATATTTTAATTAAAACTTTATTTTATTTCACATCATTAATTTTTACTAAATAGATATCAAGAATTTTCAATCTTTGACTAAATTGAAAAAAAAAAATTCATATTATAAATATAAAACGAATACAATATCACTTCCTTGAATATAAATTGAACATATCTTTGAGTACATGTAGTTTTATATAGTCGATGAAAGCAGCACCAAAAAACAGAGAGAAAATTGATGATACTGCAAACGTATTGGAATTCATTTTTACACGGCTTGTTTGCCGAGTTATATGTATATCTATTTTTTTTCTACACTGCCTTTTTTTTGCACATTTATTGAAACGAGCCGAGCAACACTTTCAAATCTTCTTCTATCGATTCACATTGATCACAGACGATTGAATAAAACATCATTGTAACTGAATATTTTCTAGAAAAATAATCCCATCAATTGTTATTAAACTTGCAATATTTTCTCCCTTTTCGCCTTTTGTTCAAAACAAAAAATTTTTTTTTTAAAGAAAATTTATTATCCTGCATTTAATTTCTATTTTCTATCTATTCTACACTACCAATCTATCTCTTCTATAGATAAAATTTGTACCACCATTTCTATTATTTTATTATTTTATTATTTTTTATTATTGCTTTTTATTACTTTTATTTTTTATTATTATTATTATTAGCATAATGTTGAAATTACTTCGATAAAATAGTTATTATATAATTAAATAATTCTAACTGAACTTAATAACTTTTGATTAAATTTTGAAACTATTAATGATTTTAATATTCTATAATTTTACGATAATTAAATATATACCTATATAGTTAAGGTTATATTAGAATATTATGGAAAATGATTATGGTGTGTGTATGTGTGAGTGTGGGTTATTAGAAAAACTTTTCAATTTTTGTAACGTTGAAAATTTAAGTGTTACAAACTTTGATAATTTAAAATCGTTAATGTATGCTTGTTAAACACAGTTAATCGATTGAAATTAATTTTCCAACTTTGAGCAAAAGGCAAAAGCCTTCGAGCTGAAATTATATATTGCATGTAAATAATATACATTAAATATTTGAACAAAATCATAATATTACCTAAAATTTCAACTAAATTGTGAGTAAATTTGCAATAATTCAAGCATAAATGTATGATATATATATGTACAGTTATAATCATTAGTGAAATTCATAAAATAGTTGTAAATAATTAATTGAAATATTAACTACTGTGGGTTTTATTGATCATTATTAGTTTCTTTTATTTGTTTAAAAGTAACAAGCATTTTTCCATTTTTATTCATTTATCTACATTTTTTTTTAACAAAATAGAAATTAAAAAGAAATAAATTAATTTTGTTTTAATTATTTTTTTAAATAATAATTTGAAATTTAATTTAATAATTTTTTTAATAATAATAATTTTTCATTTTCACAGAATTATTTATATTATTTTATATTCGTTACAAATTTTTTTTTTTATAACATTTTTTACTATTGTTTCAAATGCCTGTCATTTATTCTCGAGTGTAATATTTTTTTTGTAGAATTTTTGTCAATCAGAGAGTCATATTCTTGAAACAGTTTACGAGAAGACAGTATATAGTACTATATAAACGCTTTTACAGTATTGCACTGGTGCATGTAAATATTTATGTATATATGTATATGTATGTTTATGCTACTAGAGAAATGTGCAAACAAAGACGTTGAAAAGGCTCTTTCGTTAAAATGAGCTCACTCGCTGCTACATGGTTGATAACATCATGAAGAGCACATTTTCAGACAGAATTTGCACACAGACTGAGAAACGAACCAAAAAGAAAAAAAATGCGTGTGTATCTGTTTTTTTTTTATTTTCAACACAGCCGTAAAAAAAAGGGAGAAATTTGTATTTTACTAAACACTTTTCAATTTCTCGTAACAGGACTCTTAAAGGATCGTAAAGTCACTATTTTTTTTTCTTTTCGTTTCCCCCTTCTTTTTTTAGTTATTTGAAGCAGCGGCGCTTTCGGCCCAATTCAAATTACATTTGCATGTCCGACACGAAAAAAAACTTCAAAGGCTCTTTTGACTTTTTCAAAATCCAGATGGATCCTTTCGGACTAAGTAATTTTCAAAGTACCTGATCGGAATCTATTTACATTGGGAATGGTTTGATTTACTTCACTGACGTTGTACATACATAAACATATACACATAAATAAATTTATAAAAAGTAATATGCAAATACAGTGGGTGATTGTATGAAAAATACATTGTAAATGGTGTGAAGGGGGAATTGTTATTTTCGTTAAAAAATTATTATAATAAATTTTCTTTTTTATGTTTCAGGTGATTTTTTTCTTGGATTACTTATTGTCACAAAGGTTCCCTTTGTAAGTAAACGCAATTAATTAGTACTTAATATTATTTATAAAAATTATAAAAATCAGTGTCTGTTATTATTTATTTCGATTATTTCCAATTATTATTACTTGCAATTATTTTCAATTACTACTAATTGAAATTATTTTCAATTACTACTAATTGAAATTATTTTCAATTATTATTTATTGAAATTATTTTCAAATATGAATGCAATTGTTTTCAATTATGAATGCAATTGTTTTCAATTATTAATAAATGCAATTATTTTCAATTATTAAAATGCAATTGTTTTTAATTCTAATTAAATGCAATTATTTTTAATTATTATTCATTGCAATTGTTATAAATAACAATTATTTCCAATTATTATTAAAAGCAATTATTTTCAATTAATTTATTACTGAATGCAATTATTTTTAATTATTATTTAACGCAATTGTTTCCCATTATTATTAAATGCAAATATTTCCATTTATTATTAATTGCAATTGTTATAAATAAAAATTATTTTCAATTATTATTAAAAGTAATTGTTTTAAATTAGTATTAAATGCTATTATTTTGAATTATTATTCATTCGAATTATTATTTATTTCAATTACTTTCAATTATAATTAAACGCAAATGGTTTCCATTTTTTTTTAAAAGCAATTGTTATAAATTATTATCCATTGCAATTGTTATTAATGTCAATTACTTTTTAATTATTATTTGTTTATTATAAAATATTATTTGTAATTAATTGCTGTGATAACTAATTAACAATTTTCAATTTTTAACTGATTAGAGTAATGCAAAATTGATACATAATACTAAAAAAACCAGTTTATTTCAATTTTTTAATAATAATATCGTTTTAATATAATTTTATTAATAATATTTAATTTAATTTAATTTAATTTAATAATAATATAATAATATAATTAAGTTACTACTATCAATCCTTACTTGTGAATTTTTTGTTTTACTTCAAGTAGAAAATTGATAGAAAAAAATGGACAGAAAATTTATTGTCAGACAAGAATTATTTTTAGTAAAAAAAATTAGTTTGTCTTAATTAAAAAAGTGGTTTTACAAGTTCTCGAAAAAATTGTAGGCAAAAAGAAAGTTGAAAATTTACAATCCCTCAAAAATTAATTTCATAAAAAGTAATTATTGCCGTGTGACAAAATTAAATTTATATTATCAGGGAAAAGAGTTGTTTTCAAACAAAAGTTTCTTTCAACAGAGAAATTAATTATCCATCATAAAAAGTTACTCGAATGACTTGATAATATATTGAGAATAATTAATAATAAATAATAATTAATATTAAATGATACAGAATAAATTAAAAAATTATTAATAAAAAATAAATTAATAAAAAATTAATAAGTTAATAAATAATTTACAAAATTGGTGAATTAAAAATAAATTAGTAGATTAATAATAAATTAACACATAAATAATAAAAAACGAATAAAATATAAATGAGTAAATTATTATTAACCCCAATAAAAAAGTTCTATCGACAAAAATTTTTAAAAAAAGTTTTCATACAAGTAGAAAAGTAAATTGTCAGACAAAATATATAACCTAATGTAGAATAAGATTTCTTTAGAAAGAAATGACTATACAAATAAAAGAAAAAGGTTTTTGTTGATAAACTTTCTTTAAAGTAGAAAAAGTAGTTTAAAAAGTATAATTAAAAAAAAACTTACTGAATAAAAATTGAAATAAAAAAACAAAAAACCAAAAAAAAGTCATCGATATGAATTGAGAAATAATTCTTCCTAGATAGAAAAAAGAATTATTTTTTAAGAAAATTTCCCTTTTTCCTGGCTTAATAGAAGCTCAAACTTTATTAATAATGCAGAGATGTATTGTCCGAAAAAGCAGCTTATGAATACCGCAAACAGAGTTGGACAACAAAATAACTATGGTTTGGCGAGATGGCAAGGGAAAAACTTCCGTCTGACTATGAAAGCTGCTTGGGTATTATGCCGGATTTTGCGGTTACCATTGGTTCTCAATGTAACTACTACTGTGACTCTGCCGTTACCATCAGGCGCATAGTTAATATGTGCATCATATACATATATATTCACTATAGAATACATTTTCGATTCATGAATCTCTCAAATAAACTTTTCTACATGTTTATAGAATGTGAAATTGTCAAAAGCTTTCATCTCTTTCATCAACAGGATTTTTTATTTTTATATAAATTTACACTAAAGCTATAATTATAAGACTTTTACTATTAATTAAACGAAATAAGAAACATGTTCCAATTTTAGAGTTTTTCATCTGCTTTAATAATAGAATTAATTAATTAATTAATTAATATTATTTTAATTATTACATAATTAATAATGCAATTATACTGAAACAAATTTTTTTTTTTATTCAAATAGCTGATTAATTGACTATTGTCAATTAAATGTTTACTTGAATCAAATAATTTTTGAGCCGATTAAATGATATTTTCTTCAAATACTCAAATTTTTTGTTCAAATACAATTTAATTGATTTAAATAAAAATTATTTGATTCAAGTAAATATTTAATTGATAATAGACAAGTAACCGATTATTTGATGGAAAATAAATTTTTTTCCTTGTAATAATTACATGATGTTTTTATTAATGTAATTAATTAGTAATTGCATAAGAATTAAATCTTATTAGTAGTAAGGATATTAGTAATTAGAAATTGAAATAACTAATTAACTATATTAATCTTCGTATTCTTTCGTTCATTCTGTCCGCAGTTTGAAGTTAGTTTCTGTATATGCTTTTCCTTTTTTTTTCTCTAAAAACTATTGTTTGACAAATCGAAAATATGCTGATATTTTTTCATGATTTATAAGAAAATAATATTACAAATTAGAAAAAAAAAAAATTATGACTAACATATAAAACATATATCCATTTTGTTTGTTATTTGCTTTTTTCTATAACAAATTTCGTTTGACTAATCTAAATTATTACGCAAATTATTCTCCATTTTATTTATAAAAAATTGGACAAGTGCGAGTTGTACTCGCACTGCAATGGCGGGTTCCGTACACAAATATTAAAACAATACTTGCAACATTTATCGGTAATTGGTAGAATTAAAAAAAAAATTAAAAAAATATATTAAAATCATTTAACTTTTGACGAATTTTAATAAAATTTTCTAGAAGTTACATTTTTTCAAGGAATTTGATTAAAATTGGATGAAAAACAATTGAAATTCTGCTATGAGTTTTATTATTTCTGCAAATAATTGAATTATTAAGAAGAAACTTATAGAAAATTTTTAAATATTTTGATTCCTATGAATTTTTTATTATTTATGAAAATAATTGAAATTTTGACAAGAATTTTATTAAAATTTTTGAAAATAATTGAATTTTGAAAAAGAATTTTTTTATTTATAAAGATAATAATTGTATTATTTTTAAAATTGCTGATTTTATTCGAAAAAGTGAGTGAAAAGTCAGCTAGTAATAACTATTAGTAATTACTTTTTAAGGTTGTAAATTACTAATAATTAATTGTTAGTTACTGATAAATTAAAGTTTTAATATATTTAATATTTGCTTATTGATATTAAATACAATTTTCGTTTGAACATGACTTGTTTTTACTACTGATACAAATATTTCACGAATTCGAATGAATTTTTACTATAATTTTGTCTGACATTAACTGTTTTTTACTACTGATTGTAAACTTAAATAAAATTCTCATCTGACTATAAATTATCTATTTTCTGATCAACTAAATTGTTACCTAATGAATAATTTACTATTTTTATTTTAATATTAGTAGTCGAAAACAATTGCTAATGAGACGGATTTTTGTCAAATTTCTTTTGTACGTTTAAAATAAATAAAGTCATACAAAACAGAAAAGTGCAACTTTGAGATTAATAGTAAATTTCAGGTGATAGTGGGATAAAAGCTTTTCAAAATTATTGCAATTATTTTCTAATTTTTTTTTTTTAAATGTTAGTAAGGAAAAATTTATGTTTCATTTTATTGACCAGTGGTAAAAGTAATTTACGGTCAGACAGAGTATTTTTAAGAAACTTTTAGAGGGGGAGATTTTTTCCCCTCATATATAGTTTGTGAGAGAGAGAGAGAAAAAAGATTTTAAACGCTTGCTATTTCCAAACTAAGTAGTAAAAATGGGATTTAGTCAGACAAAATGATTTAGAGTCTTAAAAGTTTTATATCAGTAACACAAAAAGTTTGTTTTTACCAAACAGATTTTGATTTAAGTGAAAAAAAAAGTTTTTTTTGCAAGGGAAAAAAAATACAATTTTTTACTCGTTTAACGATCAATTTCTTTTTTTTCCTTTTTATTGCACTTTCTAGATAATAAATTTTCCACTGATTTAAAAATTTTTTTTAACTAAAAAATAATATATTATCAAATATATTACATAAATATTAGTTTAAATACTTTAAATACAGTAGTTTAAAAATTGAGATTTATTTGCACTACTTGAGCGATTATAATATGTTTGTATATTTTATATATGTGAAAATACATATTTTAGAGACGATTAAAGATCTTGTTGTGAGAACCCTCTGCCTATGAAATGTTCACGCTCAATATCGTTGGGACTGAGAACAAGCCACCTTTTGCACAATGGACCATCAATTTTCAGAACGTACTTGCATTCCACATTCTGCATATAGGTCGATAAATACCTTATCGCGTTCCGATATACCCAAACGCTTTGTAATGCCAATAGTAGACCAATACTGTTGAGTGTGTACGCTGCAATAAGAACCTTTCACGGCAGATATATATGAAATCGTATAAAGATAAATAAAAAATTTGAAACTCCTTTACATTTGAACAATATAATCGATATTATTAATTTTATTCCACAGCATAAAAAAATCAAGAGAGGAAAAAATCTTGTATTTAAAATTTTTATTGTTATACTAAACTTCAAATGGCGTCAAAAACAAAAAAAAAATAATAATTCTGATAAAGGTGTTTATTTAGGATGAAAATGTTAAATTT